GGAAATAGATGATTGACATTTTGGAATTCAAGATGGCGACTTCCAGTTTGTGGACAACTGTCAAATACTGGATATAGTTGATTGGCGCCATTTCAGAATCCAAGATGACGACTTCACGGAAAACCCGGGAGTTACCGTCTTGGATTCTAAAATGGCATCATCATCAATTTCCGGTATCTACAGTGGTGGCCTATAAATTAGCACAAACAGCCGATTTTAATACAAACTAGCCAACTGCCAACATATTGCAACTACGTTTTGTTATGATCAATTGAGCTGAAATTTTGATACAGAACTACTAATATGCTGAAGTTTGCGTGTACGTTATATCAATTATTGGAAGCGCTTGCCGGAAATTGACGGGCTGGTTGGAAATGGCCAACTAATTAGCACGTTTATAATTCAAAATTTCCGAATTTCAAAATTGTTTGACTATATCATAAATAGCTTTGTTAAGCACGCCGTCTTTTCTTGGCAATATGGTTGAAAATTTTAAAACAATAACACTCGCTTACCACTACACAACCAGCGCCACTCGAATTTCCCATTAAACTGTCTACAATAAAAAAGACCTTCGCCTCCTGAACAACATAGCAGAAAACAGCAACTTTGTATCTAGCCAGGATTGCAAGATATCGACCCAGAATTTATACAAAAATCATAAGAACACTAGTGCCGCCTACTGTGTTACCTGACTTATAACGAATATACGTTGTATACGAGTACCCCAAATACAACGTATGACTCGTCTAATTTTGCATAGCATTTGAAATGTGAAATTAGACAAACTATACGCTATATTCGAGGTACTCGTATACAACGTATATTCGTTATAAGTCAGGTAACACAGTAGTAGAATTCCGTACTAAACTTTCCTCAATTCAAAAGGCCTTAACCTCATTGACAACATTGCAGAAAACAGCTGATTTGTATCTAGCAAGGATCGCGAGATGTCTACTTTGAATGTACATGAAGTTTCTAAGAACACTAGAACCACTAGAACCATAGAGGTGACTCTAAGACTAGTAGGTCTCGAAGAAACGTGCTCAACTTTTTTGATTAGCTCTGGTACTATCTTCGGTCCCAAGCTAATCGATTCACCCCTCGAAACATAGGAAAATCCACGAACCCCTCATTTTATCTGTCAAACTTTCATAGCGAATCAAAACAAACATAGTGTAATACCTACTGGAATTTATACTAGAATGGGATATGTTAATCGATTTGCTTGGGACCAATAGGCTAGTCAAGTAGTGAACCAATTTAAAATCGTTAGTTTCCACTGGTTGCTAGAACCACCTAGCGAGAGATTTCCGAACTAAAATGTCCACGATTCAAAAGGCCTTTTGAACAACATTGCAGGAAACAGCAACTTTATAGCCTGGATCATGAGATATTGCATGTACACAGATTTCACACGAACACTAGAGCCACCTACTGAGAAAATTCCAAACTAAAAATACACTGTACTGTTGGCCTTTATTATCTAAACAACATTTCAGACGATCACATTCTTCTATCTAACACATATCATGAGAACTTGATTCTATAAAAGTTGATAAAACGAAGTTTTATAAAGACACTAACATCACCTAGTGAGTCAATGCCGAACTAAATTGATTACCATTTTCAAGAGATTGTTTAACATCCCGGGCTCCTTCACGTGAATGAGGTGCGTCCCTAATCACGACCACATGATTAAATAAATCGATTTCATTTGATTAGCTTCATGTCAGCGGGCTGAAACGACCGTCGATCGTAATGGATTGTTGTGATTTAAGAGGAACAGTGGCCTAGTGGTGATCGGTTTTGTTTACTGAGCAAGTAAGCAGGCCTTATTACCGCAAATCTTATTCCCGCGACTTTCAGAAAATAATCAAACAAAATCAAAGCAATGATACAATCACATATCCTGTGATTTTTGTGGGGACGCAGACACTGTCCCCAGAACAACGAAGCCCACTATTTTTTCCCCATTCAACCTGATTGCCAGGACTTGGCCAGCGTCAATCTTGAGTTTTAATCAGGAACAACTGAAACAAGCACAGTGAGAATGGACATCCAGACTTCGAAAATTTTCAAATTTAAAAATGGCTCAATACAAGATTTTCGATTTAAAAAAAAAATCATCACTCTTGGGCACTCTTGGATAAACAAATTGGATTTCTGACACTTTGAAGAAACATTTTAAAAATTTTGAAGATAATGTCAAATGAATTGTAAGGAGAATTGTAGAGGAATTTGACTAGAAGTTCAAGGCAATTTCGAGAAACTTCTTTAAAGAAAATTGCAACGAGAAATTAAGATATATTCCAAGATAGGTTATAGTAGGGTATGTATAGTAATTTTTATAAATAGTCACCAGTGGAGGAGGATCTCGTGCAAAACACGTTTCATTCCATGAAATAAGCGGAAATCGTGGTCGTTGTCTCCCTCAGCCAGTGGGAATTACCATACTCTGTGACAACCACCAAGCGCGCACGCGTTAATTGCACTGCCTTTTTTTGCCATAATTTTGAGTTATTGTCGAAACACCACTACTTTGTAAATTTGTAATTTGTAATCGGTATTTTTTTTTTACTGGATGCTGTTTTCCGTACTAAGTATCAATGCTACCGGACGCCAGGGAGGCAGCTCCCACACCTGGACCCTACCTATCGACCTATCAACGCATGGAGCGGGGACCAACAGCTTTACTCTATATTTATTAGTGACGATAACCTATCAGTTGACAAACTTTTCGCAGGGTCAAGGAAGCGGTTTCTGGAAAAATGCATAACCAAACAAACATTGAATGTTAAATACGAGCTTATTCAAACAAAAATAAGCTTCTTCAACCAAAAAGTGGCTTATTCAGCTGTTGATCAACTCAAATTGTTTGTTGGGAATCTATGTATCAATTAAAGATTTGGATAAGTTATCTTAGTTAGTAGGCTGATATCTGACATTCGGTAAGTACGCAACAGAAACCATCAATCAAGAACTGAGTGCCGCCTATGCGGCAGGAATACGAACTAATCAGAAATCAAAAACACAAAATAAAAAATAACAGAACAACTTTATTTAAGAAAAAAGGCGCTAGAAGTTTTGGTTACGCTACCGGGTTTGTTGTTCACTAACATAAAAACATAAACGAACAATGACAGAACAAATTTATACGTGATTTAACTCGAGGTTTAAATGATACCCCGAACACGTCGTTAAGCAAAATAACCATACAACATTTATTAGGGTTGGAACGCCGCAAAAAGCAAACGATTTTCCTTCTACTGAACTGGCAACACTGGAAGGGCAAAAATAAAAATACAGCCGCCGTAGCTTCTTTTATAGAGAGCAAAGACGAAGAATAAAAATAACAACAAGAATATCTCCGTCCACGATGGAAAATGACAGGTGGGCAGGAACTCACAGTCTCCCAGTGTTGGTGAGTTCTTTGCCGTTAATGTTCACGAAAAGTTCACTATTTTGCTATACAGAAATTCAAAACAAAAATTTTATCTGCAGATTTGAACAGTTTTTGACCTGTTTCATACTACCGGAAGGTGTATTCTGGTCACAAATGCCGTGCCAAACTGATTTCCTACTCAATTAATCGATCTTTGATGTGAAATTCGCTAATAAACACGAGGCGCATTTCTTATAGCAAACATGCCATAACAAAATGGGCATGGTTCATTTAAGTAAACAAACTAACACTTCTTCCGACTGTTACACCTATGTATTAGCCGTCTAGATCTCCGTCCTCCTGCTTGTCGCCCTTTGGGACAGAGGAGCGCTAGATGCGTAAAATATTTGGAACCATTTCGGCAGAAAAACTTACCTCCGCGGAACTGCCAGCGTTCTCCAACTGTCGGGGGCACTACCGAAACACTGAAAATACCACAACAGTCGCGAAAACGGCACCGAAATATCGCAAAAATTTCAACCAATTATCTGCGAACTCACAAATCGAGAAACACTTCCGAGGAACGTCGTACTTTTACTTTACAGAGCACTTAACTAGAAGTTTGAAGTTTTGTGTGATGGTGAAACACTTATTTTGACAACAGTGAACAAGACAAAGCACTCATCTTGGCAGGCGTGTAGTGTGAGAGCCAACGATAGTGGTGAGTTCCCGATGTCAATCATAAAAGGTTATGGGACCAAGGTGAATAATCAAAGGTGCCACAGAAGGAAGAAGTGTTAGTTTGTTTACTAACGTGAACTAAGCTTATTGTACATGGCAAGTTTTGCTATAATCAATACTGCTTGTGTTTATTCGCGAAATTCCTATCACTTGCGTAGGAAATCAATTTGACAATGAATGGTTTAGTTTTTTGTTTTGGCACATTTACTGTAGGGCTTTACCTTCAACCTACCTTAGTCTGGCAAATAAACAAAGTTGCCACCAGAGCAGAAGGGGTTAGACCCAAGGTAAATAATTGCAGATAACTGGAACTCACGGTCCGTTAGTGTTGGTGAGTTATTTATCGTTAATGTTCATGAAAAGTTCACTATTTTACCGTAAACAGTGCCAAAATAATAACGTTTACGGGTGAATTTGGACCTGTTTCATACGACCAGAAGGTGTATGCTGGTCACAAATGCCTATGCAATTGATGTGAATTTCGCTAATAAACACGCAAATGTATGAAATTAGATCTATCAAAATGAGTTTGACAGTGATTTGTTATGCATTATCCTCGGATTTTTACACTCTCATATATCGCACCAATACAACCGGATGTGAAAATCTCTATTGATTATAACAAAACTTGCCATATACAATTGCCTAGTTAATTTTAGTAAACAAACTAACACTTCTTCCTTCTGTGGTACCTTTGATTACACCTTGGGCGAGACCTCCGCCTTGATCGGTGAGTTCCAAAACAGTGTCTTTGTTCAGCTTGGTATACACTTTTGCACGGTGGTCGAATGGAAGAGAAATTCTTTTCTGGTAGCAAAAATACGAACAAGGTAAAATTCAATTCACTTAATTTATTTACTTCATTTACCCGAATTCAATACAATACAGGTTCCAAATTTCACATTTACCTTACCGTTTATCGCTTGCCAGTTTGGCGCTTATCATCTCCTTGAACTGGGACAGGATTTTGTTCTCGCGTTTTTGTCGCTCCTCCTTGCTGAACATGGCCAGGGCCCGCTTCTCGTCCGCCGAGTAGATTTGATTTTCCTTACGAATACGAACCGCTTCCATGCGGCGATGCCTGATTAGGAATACAATAAAGAAATGAGAAGCGACATTAGTGGTTAAAGAATTAAAAGACATACCCAACAAGCATTGAACGCTGCAGATGAGCATATTCGGGCAAAAATACGAATTATAAGGCCATTCGGAGGAGGATGCAAAGTGAAGTAACCCTAAGGCTGAAACTTAATGATGATATAACTGACAACCATCCTGATCACCTACGGTTGATAATCTCTTTAATGTTGATAAATCCATTAATCGAAGAGAAATTCTGAGGAGAGCTGCTAGGACAGATGGTTGATTGATTTATCTTTATTTAGGAGGCTTTCAGCCTGAGGCTGGTTCGCCTCCACGGACATATGTATAATAGTTCCTAGGGAATTTAATACCCCGTTCACATTACAGCGTATATCACGTGATATACGCTGTCTTGCAATGAGCACTCATACATCTAGTTTTCACTGCAAATCCTATGTATGAGTGCTCATTGCAAGACAGCCTATATTACGTGATATAGGCTGTAATGTGAACGGGGTGTAATTCTTAATATACCTCAAACAATTATTTGCAGAATATCAAGCTAGTTTGAAGATAGGTTCAATGAAGGAATTTTAAGGATTTTCCGTGAGGGTTTGGAAGGAAATTTTAAGCGCATTGTTAGGAAAATTGTGGAGTGAAATCAAAGCATTTTTTCACGAAGACTGTGTCTTACGTGAAGGTACAGGGGGTAAATCAAAAATTGTGACCGTCACGAAAAGCTGTTAGGTTTTGAACGGTTATAGCTTTGTCCTTTATAGATGAAATTAAAATACAAATACACCAATCCATAGGAAATAACTGTATGATTCTGCTAAAATAAATACTTTTGCTATTTTCTGAAAAATGTACAAATAAAAAGTGATAATTTTATCACCCAGTCGTCATAATCGAGTACCACTTGGTTGAGCATCATTCTGCTTGAACATGTTAAGCTATAAACAGCCGCTGTCACGCCTCCGCTCATTTTGGCATCGGACGGCGTGGTGAGCGGCAGTGTGGTTAGTTCTACGGGTTTATCCGTAGATCTACGGATTTTTCAGATTTGTAGGGTTTTTTTTAAGTGCATTTTGGCCACCTCCGCTCATTGCTTTGAAAAAAACATTGTCTTTTGAAATGACTGTTTTTGGAAAATGGCCATTAAATTTAGCAATGATTAACGCAATGGAAACAACTTCTTCAAAAAAGCCAAAAAGATATAGAGAGCTGCGCGTAGATTATCTGCTGTGGTCGCCCGTACAGAAGCTGCAACGTCTGCATCACCTGCGGAACCAATGCAGGAAGTAGAAGTCGACTGCGAACCGCTTCCAAAGCGAGACCCTCAGGCACCGTTGAAGACGACCAAGATACTTCACATCACTATACCCCTCAGGCTTCTGTGGATGTGTTGAAGCTACTAAAAACATTGGCCACTCCTCCGGGATGCTGCTGAATACTGGTAGCTTCCTAGGCATGACATGTATTGCCACAAGTTGACGAGATGTGGGCACATTTGCTTCACAGTTTGCTACCGGCACTTGCTGATTCGGAAAAGGAACTTGCTGCTGATTCGGAAGAGGCACTTGCTGCTGATTCGGGAGAGGCACTTGCTGCAAAAACTCGTCTCGGCTGGGCAATCTACGGGGCGGTGCCAAAGGGAGTCGTCTATCCCAGCTACAACCTTCACATCTGTGGCTGTGACAAGGAGAGTGACCTGCAGGAGAATACGGGTGTATCAGTGGACCGAAGCCCCGAGTCCGAGGACAACAAGCGGGCTAGAGCTGTACTCGACAAGCCAACAAAACGGATCGAAATCGGGTTTGAATCCGGACTGCTATGGCGCTACGACTATGTACTTTCCTGAGAGCTACGCGAAAGCGATTCGACGATTGAAGGGGAGTCCAGAAGTGATGGAAAAAGTTAAACAACAGATAGTGGAATACCAGGAGAAAGGCTACATTCACGAAGCGACGGAGGATGAACTAAGATCAGCTGATCCACGCCGGATGTGGTACCTTCCGGTAGGCGTTGTACGAGACCCGAAGAAACCGAGCAGATTCGCATAGTGTGGGATGTAGCAGCTTCTGTGGATGGAGTCTCACTTAACAGTATTCTGCTTAAAGGACCGGATCTAGTAGTACACCTACCAAAAGATCTATGCGGCTTTCGGGAACGGAGAGTTGCAGTTGTGGGCGACATAAGGGAAATGTTCCACCAACTTAAGATGCGACGAGACAATGGTTATAGTCAGCTGTTTGTTTGGCTTGGAGAATCGGGGCAACAGATTAAGACTTTCGTGATCGACGTGTTCACCCTGCTCGGCACAATTTGTAAAAAATGGTAATGCTGCTGAACACGCAGAGCAGTACCCGAGAGCAGCAAAGCTTCGACAGTGAAGAAGAGGCGTGCCAGGTCGTAGATGAGGTTAAACTGGTCCATAGACAAGGCGGTTTCATGTGGTTTCATCATTCGAAACTGGTTGTCCAACTCATCCATGGTGCTCAAACTGCAAACAGCTGATCTATTTCCAGTGAAGATTGTCGGAGCGACTGGAAATCAAATAGAGCGAGTGCTGGGAATGCCGAAGAGGACATTTTCATGTTTTCCAGCGATGTCGACGTGGAAGCAGTCACTTCTACGAAGCGGAGCATCTTGCGCTGCGTAATGAGCCAGTTCGATCAATTAGGTTTCCTCTCTCACTTTCTGATGCATGGATGGGTAATTATTCAGGACATATGGCGTACGAAGGCCGGATGGGACGATGCAGTGGAGGGCGCAATTCTGGAACGATGGCGTGTTTGAGCTGGCATGTTCAAAGAGCTAGGAGTTATTCAAGTACCACGCGCCTATTTCCCGGGCATATCGTCAGTAGACATCGAAGATCTGCAGCTACACATCTTTGTGGATGGCAGTGAAACAGCATAAGCATGCGTCGCTTACTTTCGAGCCGAAAAAGCCAAGGTGGAACCGTTGAAAACACTCTCCATGCCGAGGCTAGAGCTTCAAGCAGCACTGATCGGGTGCCGGCTCATGAAAACGTTATGCAGCAGTCACAGTCTTCCAAACAGGCGAAAAGTATTCTGGACAGATTCTAAAACCGTCCTATCATGGATACATTCTGATCATCGACGTTACCGACAGTTCGTAGCTTGAAGAATTGGAGAGATACTGTCGAAGTCTAATACCACCGGGGCTCAACACTGCATATGAAGGTACAAAATGGCGAAATAAACCAAACTTGAAGCCAGACGGTCGCTGGTTCAGAGGACCGGAATTCCTAAGATATTCGGAGGAACTGGATGCCTCAACAAGCAGATCCAGAACTTACCGAAGAGGAACTTACACCATGCCTCATCCACTTGAACAACCTGCAAGAGGAGATCATAGATTTGGGCTGATTATCCAAGTTCGAGAGACTCTGACAGACAGTTGCTTACCTTTTTCGCTTTGTGGATAACTGTCGTCGACAGCGACTGAGACAACAGCGGCTGACCTCCCATTTTAGCAGCGAAGAACTTACTCAGGCCGAGAATGCCTTGACATCAGTCAAGGCTTGACCGTACCAGCCGAATCTACAAGCTATCACCGTTCATCGACGAATGCGGAGTGATCCGAATGGATACGCGAATCATCGGGGCAATCTTCGTGCCATACGATACCAAATTTCCCATAGTTCTTCCAAAAGGGATACCGCTTAACCAACCTGATTGTCGACTGGTACCACCGGCGTTACCTTCATGCAAACCGTATCACGGTCATCAATGAAGTCCGGCGGCGGTTCTATGTGCCCGGTCTTCGTGCACACGTGCGGAATATGGCAAAACTTTTGATTTGGTGCAGAGTGTCAAATGCCAAACAATCATGTCCGCGCAAAGCACCGCTCCCGCGCAGGCAAGAGTCAGTCCCTTCATCCGACCGTTTACGTTCGTCGGCCTTGACTATTTCGGCCCTATCATGGTCAAACTCGGACGACCGCTAGTGAAACGATGGGTGGCACTTTTTACGTGCCTTACCATTAGAGCAGATGTACTGGAGGTACTGAGGCGGAACCAATCTAGCATATCAGGACCAACAACGGAAAAGAGCACATCAGATTTTGCAGAAACTTCGGAAAACTTTTTCTCGTGACTCAAGGCTCGTCTACGTAAACCAATACCATCTTTGGGTTGGGGAAAGTTTCCCCTATCCGATGGTGCTGTTAATTTGCGTTCGGTTGGCGAGGAAGGAACTATCAAAGTTTTGTTTATAAAAGTTGATAGTACCTTTTCAATTGTTGGTCTACAATATATTGTATTGGTTCCGCTTTTTGATAGCTCGAAATTCTATCAGTCAGACTATACATATAGCGACTGTAGTGCAGTTCCTGTCCGCGGAAGCCTGCAAGATGGCTATTCGTCGGTTCCTGGTACGGCGTGGATCACCTTTGGAGATAAGGAGCGATAACGGTACTAACTTGCTAGAAGCTAGCCGTGAGCTGCAGCAACAGATAGCGGAAATGAACTAGCAGCTATCATCGATGTTTACTAACGCCGTCACCAAGTGGATCTTCAAGCCGCCATCCGCTCCGCACATGAGAGGATCGTGGGAGCGACTAGTTCGGTTAAGGTCGCCTTCGCCTCATTAAACACAAGCAAGAACCCCGACGACGAAACGCTTGTCACACTGATGATCGAGGCAGAAGGTGTCGTCAATTCGCATCCTTTGACGTTTGTCCCGGTTGAATCCGAAGCCCAAGAAGCCTTGACTTCAGATCATTTTCTGCTTCTGAGCTCTCATGGGGCTGCTCGTCCCATGCTAGAATATGCAGAGTGCCTTAGAACCAACTGGAAGCTTCAAGCGTACCAAATGGTTCTAGGAAGCAAAGGAACCGAAGGACGGAGACCCAGTCATTATCGTTGACGAATCGATCCGGAACGGGTGGCTACGAGGACGGATTGTCTCAGTTGTGAAAGGACGCGATGGACGGGCCAGGCAACTCCTGATGAAGACGACAGGAGGAGT